TTAACTCATTAGGTCTTTCTCATGGATAACAGACCTGGGCATTTTCTCTCACACCCCTCAGCTCTGTAAAGCTCATCTCTTGCTGATTTAATTTCACTTGCAGGAGAGTAAAAATGATGAGAATGACATGAGACATCACTTAGACTTCTTCATTCAACCTCTGAATCATCTACTGCTGCTCGCTGGCTGAGTATTACTATCAACACTTTACTCTCTCCCACCAAGTGCTGTCTCCTCCTAAGCAGCTCCTCATTCTCGGCATTTCCCTCATCACCCTAACTTTCATAGAATGGTTTGGGTTGGAAGGGACCTTAATTAAAGACCATCTAGTTTCAACCTGTTGCCACAAGCAGGGACATCTCCCACGAGACCAGGCTGCTCAAAGCCTCATCCAGCCTGGTCCTGAATACCTTTGTATTAATACCTAGTGATGGAGCATCCACAACTTCACTGGGCAACCTGTGCCAGTGTCTCACCACCCTCACAGTGAAAAATTTCCTCCTAAATTCTAACCTATACCTCCCCTCTTCCAGTTTGAAGCCATTAGCCATGTCCTGTCACTACAAGCCCTTGCAAAAAGTCCCTCCTCAGCTTTCTCACAGACACTTGTGAATCGCAGGTACTGGAAAGTCACAGCCAGGCCTTTGTCTCATGCTATTCTTACCTGTCATCTAACTGAAGGCCACAGAAGCCACAGAATACAGGGAAAACCCATCTGACTTTAACAATGAGAAAAAAAAAGGCCAAGGCAAAAAAACACCCCACCACATCAAAATGGCTTGTTCTGCTGTCACAGCACAGGCCAACTGTCCCACGTTCAGCGGGACTTCAAAAACTGAGATCACACAGTGGAAGCAGAGGCCTGCCTGCCTGCAGGTAGACCTTCAGATATTTTTGCAGGAAGGACATAAGATAAGCCCAGCTGATGATGCCTCTTTCTTTCCTGCAAAGCCCCATGTGAGGGAGGAAGAGAGGGATGCTTCCCAAGACACAGGTGAGTCCATTTCTACTCCTGCAGAAAGGCTCAAGGCAAAGTGTGGATATTCACCCACCACCACGCTACGGCAAGCAGGGCCACAGAGATCAAAAGACTAGGAGAAACTCACTTGCTGGTTGGCCATTGTGTGATACCACCAGAAAAGTCTTGTAGTGATGTAGTAAGCCACCACCACGTCCACAGTGTAGTGGTCATGAGCAAGGAGGATGCAGAACATCCCAACCATGCTGAGTGCCCAGCAAAGCCAGTGATACCACCAGAGTCGCCGTGGGGAATCTGGAAAGAAGCAGAAGCAGCAATTATTTCAAATAATTGATAACATTATCAGCACACAAGACTGTTGCTGTAGCTAGCAGAGGACGTGGACTGCATAGAATGGTTTAGGTTGGAAGGGACCTTAAAGATCATCTAGTTCCAACCCTCTGCCATGGGCAGGGACACCTCCCACTAGACTGTGTTGCTCAAAGCCCCTTCCAGCCTGGCCTTGAACAGTTCCATGGATGGAGCATCCACAACGTCCCTGGGCAACTTGTTACAGTGTCTCACCACATCATGGTCAAGAAGTTCTGGGGTGTTTCAAGTGATGCCCACCTTAAGACTAAGAGCAGGAAT